CTAAGTGTTATGTGTTCCTTTTCAACAAAGACATGTTAAATGTATTACATACCTTTAGTTAGGAGAACACTGTCACAGCCAGCAGCTGCCGCACAGCGTAAAATAGTCCCTAGGTTCCCAGCATCACGTATATTGTCACATAACAGAAACAAAGGAACTGACTGAAGACGTGCGTCTTTTGGAAACACCAGGCGGGAGGCATCCGGTTTTGAGAATATAGCTGAGATTTGAGGGAAACAATGTGATTTGAGTTGTGTTACATACATTTAGAAGTAGGTTTATAAGAGATCCAGCAACGCACCTATAACACCCTGAGGAGTGACCAGGTCAGACCAGGTCTTCATGTCTTCATATCTGACCTTGATGAGCTTGGCCTGCTGTAGTTTATCTAGAGGAAGCTCCTGCAGTCGCTCCACTGCACTGAAGAAGAGCATCTGAGGAGCCGCTCCAGCAGACAGAGCGTCACAGATCAGACGCCTCCCCTCCAGCAGCACCTTACCTTCCTTATCCCGAAACGCTCTGGACCGGGCAACACTGGCCACCTTCCTGAGAGGAGAATGACAAGACTTCTTAAAACTACACTCTTGTTACTTTTTCTTTGGTAAAAATATCAAAATCTTAATGAGAGAGTGCCAAAAATCCATCTTCCAAACGGTGTCTTTACTTTACCCTAATACATTTTGATAAACCTATAACAATGATTGATATTTTAGACCTGTCGAGATCAGACATGGATCACTCGTGTATATATATATATATATATATATGAGCCGAAGCACAACCAAAACAATGTTCTTCCGACCCCACAAATTTACAGAGCGATTGTATAGATAATATATATTTTTAATAATATAAAGGATATATCTTTTTTATTATTATTATTTACTCCTCAACAATACGTTTATGCTTTGTTTTGAAGGATATGTGGAACTTTTTTTTTACCCATTTACCACAAAAGGTTTCAACTACACCATTAGTTTGCATATGAATTGTTTATATATATATATATATATATATATATAAAAAGTAAAACACCTTAATGACTAAAGTTGTTTATGGATATTGATCTAACTGTTGGGGGCTAAATTCTACCATCTGCTAGTTAGAAAAAGCTTGTAGGAATTAGTTAAAAAAAAAAATATTTTGTGAACACACACATATATGTATATATAATACACTAAAATCTGTATAGTTTTGTCAAAGGTCTTCTGAAGTGTCTGTTTTTGCAATAATGCCACATACACTTGCAAAAATATGACTAAATTGCCAGTAATATTTATTTCAATAATTTTTTTTTTTTAATTAAGGAAGGTTTCAATGGGGTCCAACAGACCCCAAATAACACTGAAGGGCCAAAAGTTAGGTTTAACAGCTATCCAATGACTAGTGCTCCTCTATTAAATCCTACGGGGGGGGGGGATAAATAAACAAATAAACAAGAGAAATTAAATGTAAACTAATCAGACATATCGCCATTTAAAACTCATGTATTATTTTTCAAGGATGCCGATGAATTAAAAAAAATTTTTTTAATTAATTTATGTTTTTTATATATATATATATATACCTACACTATTACTCGTAAATCTTTCTTTTGAGTCGGATCTTTTTGATTGCTTCACTTCACCGGCGTCGAAGAAGTCGGGGTCTCATCAACTAGAAGTTCATTGTTATATAGGCTACTGAGTACACACAAACGACATTGATTTAAAATATGTATATACTTGCTTAATATATAGTGAATCATAAACAAATCAAAAGTGGACATAATGTACTTTAATTCTCTCACTTGATCAAAATGTCTGATTCGTGATGAGCCCGGTGAACCGACGGCATCATTAGAGTGAGCAGTTCTATACTTTAATAATGAACGAATAGCAGGAATCTTAGTATAATGTACTGGAAAAAAAAGGTTTAAAACTTGTATGACAATTTTACCAACACATACGAAACAAATTAAATATCTTTTTTAGCTGAATAATGGCAACAACACATTGACCGGGACAGATGAAATAGCAATAAACATTACTTAATCGGAAAACCGTATTAAAGGGGTCATATGATGCGATTTCAAGTTTTCCTTTCTCTTTGGAGTGTTACAAGCTGATTGTGCATAGATAAGATCCCTGAAGTTGCAAAGACTAAAGTCTCAAAACCAAAGAGATATTCTTTATCAAAGTTAAGACTCTGCCACGCCCCCCTAAAACGGCTCGTTCTAACACGCCCCCACATATCTACCTCACTATGTGGAAATATTTGCATAATGCGCCCAAATGTGCACGCAAAGAAAGAAGGCGTGGTTTCAGTAACCGCAGTTAGTGTTGAAGCAGCATGTCAGGGAGACGCTGTGTGTTTCTAGGCGAAAGCAAAAGCACTTTATTTGGCCTTCCAGAAGTATTAGGCATTAGGAATCTTTAAGTTGACTTACAACAGAACAGCAATGCATTTTATAGATGACCGTTTCGTGAACCTAATAATCACTTTAATTTAGCTTGCGCCAACAGGTGTACACTGGAAGCAGCTCCGGGCGGATGACGTATATCGACATTGCACATGCGCCGCTCAGAAGTGACGAACGTGGAAGCGCAGCAGAGAGATCACAACAAAACACCGGTCACGAATTAGAAGTACAAAACGAGGATTTGTAAAGAAGAATGTCGGAGGATTTCGATATGAGCCAAGAGGAGACTGGTTTTCCTTTGCTAAAGTAAGGAAACTTTGCTTCCTTTGCTTTGTTAACAAACGTTGGTTTTCACGAGACTCGCTGGCGCATGCGCAACGCTGACCTCATACGTCATCCGCCCGGAGCTGCTTCTGTATACAACTGTTGGCGCAAGCTAGATTAAAGTGATTATTACATTTTGAATATAGATATTTTTTCTTTACAAAAACACATCGATTCGCTACAGGAGGCATTTGCAACACTTTCTATTATGGATGGATGCACTTTATTTCACTTCTTTTGGACTGATGAACTGCAACATTCATCAGCTGACTGCCATTAAACAGCTTGAAAGATCAAAGACCATTTTTTATATAACTCCGACTGGATTCGTCTGAAAGAAGAAAGTCATATACACCTAGGATGACTTGAGGGTGAGTAATTTATGGGCTAATTTTCATTTTTGGGTGAACTAACCCTTTAA